TTATATTTATAATTAAAAACAGTATTTTAGATTCAAAAATATAAATAAAAAATAAGAATAAAAAATAATAGAATATTAAATAAAAATATATAAATATCTTTAATTAGTTTTAATAGATAATAAGTGTAAAGTTATATTTGTAAATGATGAATTTAGTATTATAAAAAAACTGAAATAACCCTTAGAAGCAGTATGATTTATTTATTTTATTAAATAACAAGTTCTAATATATTATATTATATATAATAAATACTAATACTATTACTATTACAAACTTTATAAATATTTATAATTAATGTTGTTTATTCAAGTTTTTTATTATATAATTTACTTTACTTATCTTTATTGACCTAACATAATTAAAAGCCTTAAATATCTACTAGCCAAATCTAATATTCTTTTTTATAAAGGTTATTTATTATATATTATATAAAATAAGAAAAAAGCAACTCTTTCTATAGATCACTTATACCAAAACTACAAAAAAAATATTTGATCATTTCTCAACTTTTTACTAAGTAAACCTTACTTGACTTCTTAAATAAAGTTGTTCAGCACACTTTTCTCATTCTTGCCAACTGTGTTTTAAATCTCAAAAACACCTGGCTGCTGAGAAAATTTCCAAAAAAACAAGTTTTTTGTTTTTGTTTATTTATACATAATTCTATTAATTAAATCTATCTTTTACCTATTCAAAAGTTGTTCAGATTACTGAACTGGATATTTTGATATATATTTTATTCAAAACAGACCAAAACTTATAGAAATACAAGTAAAAAACAAAACCAAAAACTTGTTTTTTGCAGGTTTTTTCATTGGCAATTTTAGGAAAATTTGCAAGAATGCCTGGAAATTTCACTTTTCTAATACCTATTAGAATTTTCTAAATTTCCAATAAGCTCATCTGAAGCTCACACATTTTTTCAAACTTTCCTAACTAGTCTAGAAACTCTAAATTAAACAAATTTTTCTGTAAAACACATTTAAAAATTTATTTTTAGAACAAAATGCCAACCTTAACAACAGTTGCACCTAATACCATTGACTTTGACTATTTTTACCAAAAGTGTCCTAAAAGCTTTGGTATTGGTATTCTTGATGATGCAACTAATATATCAAGTTCCATCTCAGCAAACAAGCAACCAAACAACTGTTCAACTACAGAACTTAGAGAAGGAACTAAAAGTTGTCACTACTTTAAAGCACTTAAATTTAGTTCAATCATTACATGCTTTTGTGGCAAGTTTCACACCTACTTTATCTTTACTACCAATCAAACCTATAAACAAAATAAAGTTATTTTTACTAATAAAAAATCCAAAGATAAAAAATCTTTAGCAAACAATATTGCAAATTCTACTGAATTTATTTCTCTATCACCAACAGCATCACCCTCATCTACCACATATAACCACCTATATGCTAAATGCAACTTGTCTATTCCCTGCAAAGAAATGAACAACTAACATTACTTGGCAATAGATGCAATTTTATATAATAACAAACCTTATTACAAAACATATGCAAATATTCAACAAACTATTTAACAATCAAGCTCCTTCTCTATATTCATTCAAAAACTCCAACAAATAATTAGTTCCTACAACCTATTAGCATCCAAACTTATATTCACAACCTCACCTAGTAATAACAATAGTACCACAAACGACATGGATTTAGATAACAATATTATTAACAACAACAACAATAACTAATAACAACAATAACAACAACAACTATTATACCAAAACTCACTTTACTCTAAAGAACAACAATAACAATAGCAAGAAACAAGCAAACAACAAGAAATAAATAAGCAACAACAACAACAAACATAAACCAATACTACTAATAACCAACCAAAAATTAAAGCCAATCCAATATTTGATTGCTTTGCTAATTTTTCAATCTTAGATGACATAAAAGATAAATCACAACTCCAAACAGAATTCTCTAGAAAAATCTTTAACTTTCTCAAATCCTACTTATATGACTTTTATCTCAGTAAAGAAATTAAACCCAAAACTCTCAAACAAAAGGCTCTAAAAGCTAGCTTTTACTACATCATTCACAAAATGGCTAGAGACAGACCCAGTTCCTTATTGATTTTATTCATTAAGCCAATCCTAACACAGATAAAGCAATTACAATTCCTTTTGACATTCTTGAAGAAACCTTTAAAAAATTATTCTAGCATTTACAATAATTCTGTTTACAAAACTTAACTACTCTAAAATCTTTGTCTTCTTAGCAACTATGCCTCTATATACTAACCAAAACCAACTTCAACTTTGCATTAATCTAGCCTGTATTTACTTATATCTTTTTAACAACTATCAAGTCATCAATTATATTAAATTTGCTGAAGACTTCCAACTTCAACCTAAAAGATTTAATATAATTTCAAAAATATCTGATTTTGACAAAGACAAGCAATATGTTATAATTAGATCTGATAGCTAATTCAATATTTATCTTGATTTCAATATTCCAAAAACACTTTTTAATCAAAAACTAAATATTCCATCTTTTTTAAACTCTTTAGACCATTTAAAACAATAGTTTAAATAATTCTTTCTAATATACAACTGTTAATTCACTCAATCATTAGATGAAACTAAAGTTTTCAACTCTCTAAAATACCAAATTTGACAGAAATTTATTTTTTATCTTAAAGAAACCTTGCCAACTACAATAAATTTCCAACAACCCTATAATTTACAAAAATGCCACAATAAAACTATAAAACTAGCATACTTCCATATTCTTACTTGCAAAGAAGAAACTTGTTCTTACTTAGAACAAATAGAATCTAAAAACAAAGAAAAAGAAACAGAAAATACAAATTCATCTACTACAACTCCAAAACCTCTATACCAATACAATTTCTCACAATTATTAAATGATATTTTTAAAAAATTATATGAAGATTTTTCAAAACAAGAAAATGAAATTTGGAAACAACCTAAAATTGATTCATCTATATTTTACAAAAATAGCAAACATAAAGCATCCTTTAACAAACAAATTCCTATTACTCTCCTTGATGAGCTTGCAACAGAAATAGAAAAACTGCTTGCAAGATCAACAATGTTCTAACCAATTCCAAACAATGTAGTTACTACTTTTACCTATATCTTAATCTATACCAAAATATTGCAGCACAAAACTACCACATCAACAAACTCAACAAACAGCAAACAGTAGAATTTATTATCTCTAAGCCTACCAGTACAAAACTATTAGCAAGAGTTTTAACCTTTTTTAATTCTCTTGACAAATTATTAACATATTTATAAATTAATATCTATTACCAAAAAATAGCCTACTTAGAAACAAACAAAATATTACAAGATAAATTCCAAATGTTATACTCAATTCTTTCCTTAATTGAAGAGTCTTTCTTCCTTAAGGAAACTCCTTTTTAGTAAACCTGTCTTCTACAAAACTTATAGATGCAGCCACCATCTTGCCAAAATATACATTCTTAGTAGTTGGTAAAGAAAATGATGTAAGTGGGCAGGTAGTAAAGCCCTTTATATGAAGTACCAAGTTAATAATGGTCAGACCCAATGTACAGGGCAGACTATGGTAACCTTCACAGCTGTGCAAGCTAAGCTTCAAACAGTGAATAACCCTATAGAAGACAACTTAACATCCCAAGTTCCTGCTTCCAATATTCTATCTTCTGCAGAAACAAACACATGCTATAACAAATTTTTACTATTATATAATTTACCTATTATATACTACTATATAACATTTGGAGAATTCCTATCTTATTTCTGAAAACATTCTTTCAAACATAGTTTTAAAATATCTATTAACCAAAACAAAACTAAACTATACATATACACTAACCTCTCAGATCTTACTCTTCATAAACACCATCTTATTCAACCTTTTTAATATAAACTTTATAAGCATTTACCTCTGCTAACAATACCAAATAAAGGGTGTGGTGACTTAGTAAAGTGGATAAGTTGTCATACCTCCAAGTGGTAGGTTGTGAGTTCAAAACCCACCAATGGTGAAATTTGGATAATCATCTATATAATATATAGACAGTATTATGGTGATGGCATTCTGTCAATCAGTTGAGAGAGGATACCTGTAACTATGGTCGCACCAGCATGGCTGGCAGGTCTGGGGCATTTGTGTAACCTGTTACACAGAGGAATGCAAACCAGTACTGAGTGGTGCAAACCTAAAATAAGTCTTTGGGCCATATAAATCCATAAAACTGAGAAGCTGAAGCCCACTTGGAAATTCCAAGCAGAGAGGTAATATGGATCTTTGATGCTACTACTGTAAAGGCTAGACCTAGGAAATGGATACCAATATGAATGATTCAGGCAGGCAAGAATTTCGGGTAAGAGGTACTACCAACCAGGCTGCTGGATTTTAGACCAAAAAAAAAGGATATTGGGCTGGCCTCAACATACCAAGGACAGATCACAGTCCTTCTGAGCTATCTGGATTGGGAGTCTTAATTCAAAGCAGGGGTATACTAAAAGTACTAGAGATATGCTGTAAAGTCAGTACTGGGGTCTGAGTGAACTCTGCAAGGGTAGCCTGTGTTAGTGTTTTAAAAGTGAGTAAATAGTTAACAACAGAAGGCCCCCTGCATCTTACTGGCAGGTGATATACTCTGAAATGTGTAATGGCCTAGGAACCAGTACAAAAAGGAGCATCCTAATTTCCCCCACCACTTCTGATTGGGCACTGTAAATATTGTCTTTGATTAGGTGGAGTAAATTACACCTTCATCACAAAACCAAAATAATAATAATTATTATAATAGATTATTAACTAAGAGCGAATATATTACTGTCAAACATTATCAAAAAATTTTTTTATGTTTTTAATCGCCAAATTACTTTTATGAAAATTGAACTCCAAATTTTTATAGTTTAAACTTTAAAACAAATCAATAATTGAGCTTTAAATTTTCAAATATTTTATTAATTCATTCAAAATGTACAATAATCTATTATATTTTACAAGATGTCAATTAGAATAAATGAATTTGAATGTTTAGCAGGTTTTTTTGCTTTAATAAATAACTTTAATTTTGCATAAATTTTGTTTAAATGAGAAGAAAATATATATGTACAAAAAAAAAACAATAATACTTAAATCAATACTTATTTTGTCTTGTAATTTTCACATTTAGTGCTATTTGATGAATTCTTGACTCATTATTAATAGTAGCCCGTGGAACAGATTCTATCATTGCAATTCTTTCTTGTTCCATTTGGGTAACATGCTAAAGAGTCATTCGTAAATTGTAAATATCTTCTCCTTCCATATTTTTCTATTCTTCGGTAATTGCAGCAAGCTCTTCTTGCAATTTTGCAAGTTGGATGTCTTTATTGTTTTTTTGATCTGCAGATGGATTATAAGAAATATGAGAATTAAAAAAATCTGATTCAATAAGTAGTTGATCATCTCTTGTATCCTCATCATGTGCATGATTTTGTGCTAAAACAGCAAACACATGTTTGCATAGTAATTGTCGTAATTGAAAATCATGACAATTACAAATGTAAAGGGCAGCATTAGGACAATTTTTAATGTTTGTAAGATCTTTTTTTCTGACTGAATATTCTATATCATCATTTGTTAAAGAATGTATTATCCAAAGATTAGGCTGGATATTGTAAATATTATTGTTATTAATGTATGTAGTTCCTACAAGTTCACAAACTCATTGCTGACGCTGCTGTGAATTCATCCTGCCAATTTTTAATTCATTCTAAAAGACAGAAAAATTCATGTCACAAAGTACAACTTCTACAAGAAGATGTACTTCGCCATCAAGTCGTTGACCTTAAAGATAGAAATTAAAATTAGTAAAATTAGATAGCTATTTTTTTGACAAATCATTAACTCTATTGATAAATACTGAATAAATTGAATAAATTAAAAAAAAATTTAAAAATTAAAAATAATTAATAAATTAAATAAATAAATTAATAAATAAATAAATAAATAAATAAATAAAAACAACACTCTATTATAAATATTCTAAATATGTACTTAAAAAAAAGTTAAATGTGATAAATAATTATTTAAAATATTTTAAACAATCAATAACTAAATGATTTTAATTAATTTTAATCCATACCTGACCATCCTCTCATTTAGTATATTTTAGCTTACAATGGAATGATTCAATTAAATTATTCATGTCCATCATATTTCTAGCTGCTCCTCTTAAGCAAGACATTCATATTTCATACTTTGGCTTCCACCAATGCTCAAAGTAATCTGCAAAATTATTTATTGTCTCATTACCTATTTCTCTCTATTGATTAATTGCTCTTGCTATTTGTACTTGAGCATCTGCATTGGTCCATCCTTCCATCTTTAGTAATCACCAAAGATTATCCAAAACAGCTTCTTTTTGTGAATCACTATTTGTGTCATGTTTATAGCACAGTTTTCTACACCAAGACCGTAGCACATAAAAATGGCACAAAAACACAGAGCTATCAGGAAAGCTTTCTTGAGATGCTTTAATCTCTTCACCAGCATCATCAGTCATAAAAATATCTGGCCTCTACCTTTTATTTTACATTTTAAAAAAGCAAATCACTCTTTTAATGTCGATGTTCATTTAAATTCACTTATCAAAAACACAACCAGATATCTACTTTCTACCACTAGATGCTGTATAACAAGTGTAAACAAATGATATTTATGATAATTTGTCCCATGCATCCCATCTAAGCACACTACTCTTGTGAATTCCATCAATTCTTTTTGTTCTTTGGTCTGAAACATGAATATAAATCCAATATTGTCTATCTTATTATATCTTCTGAATAAACAAACCTCATTCTTACTAATTATCTTATTATACCACATTTCTAAAGAACACATCTCATCCTTATCAAAGTAAGCAGATGTTTTCATTATATTATAAACAATTGTATAAATGTCATCACACGTTATTAGCCCATCTCGTAATTCTTGCACATTATGTGAATGTGAATGACCTTCCGAATTAAGTGAATGAATCTAAAAAGTTAATTTAAAATAAAAAAATAAATAAAAAACAAATCAAATAAATAATATAAAAAAATAAATTAAAAAAATAAATCGAATAAAAAAAATTAAATAATATAAAAAAAAATCAAATAATATAAAAAAAAATTAAATAATATAAAAAAAATTAAATAATATAAAAAAAATAAATCAAATAACATAAAATAATAAATTAAATAATATAAAAAAATAAGTTAAAAAAAATAAATTAAAAAAATAAAAGATAAATAATAAATATAACAACCTGATCCTGTAATTCTATTGCCCGAAATCGTATAAGTTTATGTATGCTAAAGACATCAAGTCCCTCAAGTGCATGCTGTTGAATAAATTGTCGAATATTATCAGAAAGTTGGAGTGTACACAGGTCTGAAAGCTGACTGGGCCGATGGTTACGATGCTTATAGTAATACTTTAAGGTTACTGTCAATGATTTAACGAGAAGTACAACAAAAATATAACTTATACATTTGCATTTTTTAGAATCTTTTTGTACCAAATGTGATTTTTTATTTGAGCTTTTTCCAGCAACACTCTCATATACCCCATAATGATGACAATGTCATCTTTCAGACCACATGCTTTTTCTTTTTGCATCTAATTTAACTCGATGATCATGGTGACAATAACTTAGACCTGACTTTTCGAGATCTTTAATCCATTCAATGTATTTGTTTACTGAAAAATAATATGTTTTTACTTTTCCTTCACCTGGCATTTTTTCTGAATTATTATTCACAACTTCCTATGCTTGACCGATGCCATTTGATGCATCTAGAATAGAGTCAAGCATATTATCAATGTCAAGCTCATTATTGTTATCACTAAGATCTATGTCAACGTCTTCATCAATATTGAAAATATCATCAATTTTAAGTGAAATTAATATTTTTAACAAAAATCTAATAGAACAAAAATATCAATAGATAATTTTAATATTTATTTCAATTTAATTTTTTTTATTTTTAATGTTTTTTTATTATTTTTATTATTTTTTTTTTTATAATAGCAGTACAATACACAGTAGAGTAGATTAAAAAAAATTTATTTAATCGATCATGCAAGTTTATTTAGAAAAACTGTTAAATTCATGAAAATTAATAAATGTTAATATTGAATAAAAAGAAAATTAATTTATATTTTTGGCATGACACTTATGTAGCATACTTTCTAAATGTTTCTAGTAGAGCAATAGGTCTTATGTTATTTAGACTATAATGCCAATTCTTACTCTTAAGAATTAGATATATTTGTGATATTTTTCATTTTAATGGTACTATGTTGCCTTAATGCATATTTCTGCAAACTTTTTAAAGAGCTGCTGTGTTTGCTCATCTGCTACTTGAATTAGACTGTATATGATTTCTGTTATGCCTGGAGCAGTGTTTTTCTTCAGTTCTGATAACATTTCTGTCTATTCTTTGTCTGTGATATTCTAATTTAGCTCCCTATACCACTCTGCTTTTATTGTATTCTTGGGTTCATATATTTTTGTTCAACTCTTTTTAAACAAGATTTGGTTGAAATGTCTTGATCTTAGCTGGTTTTGGAAATGATCTTTTGTTTTAGATAAAACTTTTGCTAGTTCAGTAAGCAAGTTTCTTCAGTTATTTTCTTCTACTAATAATTTGTCTATTTGTATTTTCCTACTTGGTTTGTCAAGCAGATTTTTAAGCATTTTCTCTTGATCTCTAATAATTATCTGACATCTTTTTTCTGTAAACTCTTTGATTTCTTTCTACTTTAATGTCTCGATTTCACTTGCTCTTCTCATATAGAGTATCTTCTACCAACCTTTTAAATTATTAATTAGTTCTTGTGACCATTCTTTTTGTATTGTATCTATATATGTTCCTTCTTGTTGATTGTTATACTGTAGCTCAGAATTCAGCTCTTCTATATTCTTGTTTAATAAACCAATCTTAATATTTATTTTCCCAATACTAATCCATCTTCCCAATTGTGTTAGTAACTTAGAAAGTTTTGTTTCTTTTGTCTTCTTTTTCCGATTGTTTGTGTATTATATATTTTCTTTTTTGGCAGATTTTTTTTTGCTGCTGTTTGAATTCCATTTACTATAATATCCCACCAATCATCTATTTTGCTTTGCAGATTTTTCTTCATAATCTTTTCGTCATCTAAAATTTTTGATGTTTGTTGTAGTTCTTCTATTAAAATTCTTTTCCTTAGCTGTAAGTTTAGCTCTCTTTTATAATTTTCTATATCCTCTTTGGTTGCTTTTTTCTACAAGAAAATTGTTCTATAGTATTTATTCTTTTTAATTTCCACTGCACTATATAGTTCTATTAAATGTTCTAAATTAATTTGTGCTATTACTGATTCATGATCACTATTTATATAAACTTCTATTTCTTGTATTTCTGCATCTAATAACCTGTTTGCCAACTCTTTAGTAACCCAAATTTGATCTATTCTTGATTCCAATCCTCTGCCTGACCAAGAAAACTCTTTTTTTTCTGGGTTTATAAGTCTATAAACATCCTTAAAGTCTTGTCTTGTTAACCATTTAAGTAAGAGATTTTGTTTAGTTAATTTTTGCCTAAAGTTTGTTGATCTATCTAGCTCATGATCAGGTATACTATTAAAATCACCTATCATAATTATTTGTGTTCTTGATGAATGATTGATGTATTTTTCAATTATTGTTCTTTGTATGTTTTTCCTTTTCTCTTTGTTGTTTGGTGGCATATAGACCATTATGACCATTAATTTCATTTGTTTGAACATAAAATTTGCTATGATTACATATTCATTTATTCTACTTATTCCTCCTAAGTGCTTTTCCTATTGATTGCTTATAAGTATGCCTACTCCTGAACCTTTTTTTTGCTTGGATTTGCATTTGACCAAAAATCCTTGTAGTTGTTTTGGAAGTTTGATATGAAGAAACCTTCTTTGCTTAAAATGTTTGTTTCTGCTATGCTAATTATATCTATTTTATTGTCTTTTAACTATTCATATAAAACCTCTATTTTTTGGTTGTTTCTTTTAAGTCTGTTAACATTATATATTGCTATGTTCAGGTTTATTTTGTTATTTGAATAGATTTTCCCTAATGGCATTTGCTGTTTTGATTTTGCTTGTTGTTCTTTAGTTATGTCTCTGATTTTTTCATTTTGTATTCCTTTAACCTTTTCTGTGATTTTGTTTAATGTTTCCTCTTTGTTTTTTTTGTTAATATTTTGTTAGTATAGGTGCCTTCTTGTATCTGTATTTAAATTTTCATCTATTATCTGCAAAGAGGATCATGCTCCTATACTCAGTTTCTTTAGGAGTGATTCTTTTCTATACTACCTATATCTAAATTTTTTCCAATATAATTCATTTCAAGCTTATCTAGTCTTAATAGAATTCTTTGCAATAACTTTAGCATTTGGTCTGATACTGTTTCTTCTTTTGCTTTGTTTGATCTGATCATTATATTGTTCTCTTCTTTTTTGCTTTTTGCTTTTTCTCCAATCTTCGTGTTGTATTCTGTTTCAATCTTATTTGGATAAATATCTATGTTTACTATATTTTTTTGTTTTTGTTTATTAGTCCTAGAAATCTTTTTTCCTTATTCCACATCATTTCAGAAAACCAGATGGTTGTTGTATCTTATCAGTTTTGTTTTGGCTGCATTCATTTCTTCTTCTAAGCAAAAGTAATTATTGCTGATTGTCTCTAGTTACCATTTCTGTTAGATGGTATATATACTGACTTTGCACTTTTGCTCTTTAAGCAGTATAATGATAATACCTCTGAGGCATTTGCTAGAATGTCTTTTAATTTTGTTGTGAATGTATTTTGAAGATCTTATTAACTATACTCCTCATTGCCTTTAGATACTCTTGCTAGTTTGTATCTACCAATTGGTAGAGACCAAGGAATGCTTTCTTCATGTAAGTGTTCTGTTTTAATTACTGCAAGAGCTTTGAATTTAGAACTTTTAATTCAAACTATTTGTGCTTTTGGATGCTTTTACATGTATGTTTTACTTCTTCTGTGTTGATGCTAATTGGCAAATCCCAAATCATCCAAAAGTTGTGCTAATTTTTACTGTTTTCTGCTGTAGAAATATCTTCTGTTTCTTTTGATATTTTTGATTCTATTAGTTTTTCAATCTTTTTTAACTTCTTTTTGTTATCATCTTTGATTTGTTGATTTATGTATTTGCTTTGTCTATTTATTTTTTCTAGAATAAGTTTAAGCCAGTCTCCTTCTTTCTCTCTAATTCTATTCATTGCCATGTCTCTACTATACTCACAATCGAAATCTACTTCTATCCAATTATTTCTTTTCTTGAAGACTTCTTTCACTGTCTTGATGTGATGATTTTTTCCTAAAATCCATTGTACATATTTTATTCTTTCTTCTTTTGTTTCTCCTGGCAATGCATATGTTGACATGTTTGCCTTAAATAATTTTGCTTTGTCACAGATTCTATTTCTTGGAAACCATTGGCTGTCTTTTATTGTATCTTGAAAGATTAAGTTAGCATTGATATCATCTGAAATTTCTTTTTTTAATTCTGCTAACTTCTTGTTGAGGTTTTCAATATTTGTTTGGATGTCATTGAGTATGTTGTCTCTTGGTGGTTCTGAATCTTTCTTAAATTTTTTTTCACTTTGATCTTTTATTTGGTTCTCTTTTATGACTACTTCTGCTTGTTCTTTATCTAGAATAACAAAATTGGTTGTTTCTTTTAGTTTTAAGTCTTCTTCTTAATGTCTTCTTTTTTCTACTAAATTGGAGATATCCTCTAACTTATCTGTTTTGAGTAGCCCTTCCATTTTCTTTTGGTTTTTGATAATTTTATCCTTACTCATACTAGTAATAAAATTAATCAAACCTGGGTTTTGATTTATAAATCTAAGTTTTGTGACCTATTTGTCTGTTGTTACTTTTTCAAGCCATCCCAATTTTGCCAGTTTTAAGGCTTCAAGGATTTGGCTGTAAAGTAACATATTATTTGGTGTGATATGATTTGGGTCATTCAATGCTAAGTCTTTTGCAATAAATTCTATATTGCTTGAACTTTTTATAGGTGTTGATAGAACATGATCCAAAGTTTTGCAATTTATATATCTTCAGTTTCTATCACCCAGCCCTTTGATATAATCTATGATATCTGATTTTTGCATCTTATCTTCTGATTTATTGATTTGATTAACTTAAATTTGCTCAAGTAGTTTATGTGCACATTAGTTTATATAAGTATTTTCTAATATACTTAGTATTTTCCTAATTAGAAACGTGTTTTGTTCTATTTGTTGTTTGTTTATTTTTGTACAGTTATGTGTTCTAACTTTTAATTTTTCCAAATTAACAACAAATCCCCAAAAGTAAGAGAAAATTTTGTCTAAATTTTGAAAAGGTTTTGTAATTGTTGCCTATGAAGGTTATTCACTTTGGTATTCTAAACAAATAACTGTAATTTCTTGTGCTGGATCTTTTTTTCTAAACTTGTAACAGGTGTTTGATATAAACTTTTTTGATAAAATCTTGAAAAATAATTTTGCCTCTTTTTAGAAATGAAGATTAGCAGAGAGAGTGTTATTTTAAATTTGAATTTTTACTTTATTATTATAGAATAATTTTAATTATTATATAATAGTAAATTTTTTTTTAAATATTAATAATGAGACTATGCCTTTAACTTTATTGAAATTCAATTGAAGTTTTTATAAAGAAAAGCTTGCTTTTAAATTACATATA